ATCCTCCTCAGTTTCAGCAAGCAGGGTTGTGCCATCTGCATAATGCAGATTGTTGATAAATCTTCCACCAATTCTAATGCCACATTCCTCCTCATACAGTCCAGCATCCTGGATGATCTATTCTGCATACAGATTGAAAAGGTGTGGAGACAGAACACATCCCTGACAGAGCCATGCAGTGCAGTGTCTCCTTGCTCTGTTCTGACGATTGTCTCTTGGTCCAAGTATAGGTTTCACATATGCACAATCAAGTGTTCTGGGATTCCCATTCTTCTCAGAGTCAGCCACAGCTTGTTGTGATACACACAGTTAAAAGCCTTTGCATAGTCAATGATGCATGGATAGACGTTCCTGTGGTACTCTCTGCATTCTGCCAAGATCCATCTAACATTAGCTATAATATCGCTACTACCACGAGCCACAAGAAGTCAATCCTGGAGTTGAAGTTCAAGACAAAGGACTTTTTCTAAGAACTTTCTGAGAAAAGAAGCCATCTTTTATACTTGTACCTGACAGTTGTACTTAGAGACTTTTAAATTGAAGAGACACTAGCTGCATCATAAGAGACTGGCAGCAGCATGAGGTGTTCAGAATCACAGACATCCTGATGGCTTGAGACTTGAGTCATCATATCAAGGGCTGGTCAAGGGGAGAGAGGTGTTGAATGGTGTAGGCGAAAGTAGAAGGGACAGAGGTAGAGAAAGGGGTGGGTCAAAATACACATGGCAAGGGTGGGTAGCAACATTGAGTCTATCAGTCATTTTTCTAATTGGGTAAATGTCTTTCCTCTGTTCTTTTCTGTAAAAATGCTTGTCTGTCAGATACTATTATAAAAAAATCCACAAATTAAAACAGACTAGAAAGAAGGATTGGCCATACACTTCTAAAATGACGGGCTTTCGAAAACCCTGTGTACAATAGAGCACACTTAGACTAGCACTTAGACTAGCAGACATGGCAATTGAGACTGAGATCTCATGATTGGAATGTGGAATGTGAGAAGCATGAATGTAGGAAAATTGGACATTTTAAAGAAATAAATGGCAAACAACTTATGAGATATCAGCTCACCCCAGTAAGAATAGCAAAATTTAACAGA